TGCTCTTTTAGTCCACAATACCGACCGGTACTTCCTCGTAGGACAGATTCTCCTTGAGTGAAAGAGGCTCGTGGGCCAAAATGTGAGAGAGGTCTGTATTGTACTTGCGTAGCATAGACATATGAAACATATTATGGATCTTAAAAAGTTCTGAAGGCAATGCCAGTTTGTAGGTGGCGGTACCAATTTTGTCTAAGATTTTAAATGGCTCAATAAAGCGGAAATTTAGTTTCTCTCTCTTGTCAAACCTATTGATTCTCTTAAAATGAGTGACCTTAAGAAACACCCGATCGTCTTTCTCAAATTCTAAATTTCTCCTCCGGGTGTCTGCATAACTCTTCTTCCTACTCTGAGCCGTCTGAATGTTCTTCCTGATCTTAACTATTTTGGCTGTAGTCTCCTCTACAAGGTCTGGGTCAAAAAATTTTCTATCATCCACTTCTTCCCAACAGATCGACGATCTACATAGGTGGTCATACAATACCTCGTACAGAGTCATGTCAATACTTGTTTGGTAGTTATTATTGTAGATAAACTCTATCAGGGGTAGACGGTCATCCTAATAGCCCCTAAAGTCAAGAACACAAGCTCGAAGCATATCCTCAAGTGTGCGGATTATCTTTTCTAATTGTCCATCGGTCTGAGGGTGGAATGCAGTACTAAGGGACAATTTCATTCCCATGGCTTGCTGAAAGATAGACAAGAACTGAGAAGTGAACCTAGTGTCCCTGTCGGATACTACTGTCACTGACACTCTATGTAATCTGACTATCTCTTAGATATACATTCTTGCTAACTTGTCCGAGAGATCGGTCATCCTGATGGCCAAGAAGTTATAAGACTTGGTAAGCTGGTCAACAATTACCTAGAGGGCATCATGTCCTAAGCGTGCCCTAGGCAATCTTGTCACGAAGTCCATGGTGATATGTTCCCACTTCCACTTCAGAATTGGTAATGGCTGAAGTAGCCCACCTGAGCGTTAATACTCTGTCTTGACCTACTGACATACCAAATACTTAGAAGCAAAGTTAGCTACATTTGTTTTCATCCCCTTCTACCAAAGTCGGGGTCGTATGCTTTAATACATCTTAGTGCTTCCGAGATGCATGACAAACTTTGAGCTATAAGCCTCTGTCATGATGTTTCTTTTCAACTCATTGTTATCTAGAACACACACTCTATCCTGGAATCTGAGCAATCCATCGGTAGATACTCAAAATTCTGAGTTAACTTCCTGTTCTGCATCTTTCTTGAGGGCTGCTAGGGTGGAATCGGCAGACTGAGCTTCCTTTATTCTCTGGATTAACTCAGGTTGAACAATCAGGTGGTCCAAACATGTGACTCTCTTCAGGTCCTAAAGTCGTATCTGTTGTGCGGCCCCTATCTCTACATTTTGAAACCATCAAATGAGCTAATGTATCTGCACTTTTTTTGCTGAGTGCGACGGCTACCACGTTACCCTTACCCGGGTGATACAAGATATCGCAATCATAATCCTTGAGGAGTTCTATCTATATTTTTTGACTCATGTTGAGATCCTTTTGAGTGAATATGTGTTTTAAGTTCTTATGATCGGTATAGATCTGAAAGGTCTCTCCATACAAATAATAGCGCCAAGTCTTCAAAGCGTGGATAATTACGATAAGTTCTAAGTCATGAATGGGGTAGTTTTTCTCATGACTCTTCAACTGTATGGACCCAAAGGCTATGACCTTCCCATGCTGCATCAAAGCACAACCCAACCCTAGGTAAGAGGCATCATTGTAAACTGTATATCCACCCGATCCGCTCGGTAAGGTCAACACATGTACGGTAGTCAACCGTTTTCTTTAGTTCTAAAAGATTTCTCTCACAGTTCTCATTCCACTCAAACTTGATGTTCTTATTTATTAAGTCGAGGTCAGAGGAGTAGCTAGACTGGAAAACCCTTTCTA